TTTTTGACAATTAGAATAAATTCTAAATCCAATGGTAGAAAAAAATTATTACTTTAATTGACAATTTCTATAAAAAAAAAACGAAGTCAAACGGATACCAAACTTTCAACATTTTACAGGTGGAAAATTATACCAATAAAACACAATTAATTACAATTCTCAGTAAAACAATTTTTAGGCAATTCAACTCCCTATAAAACATTTTTTTCCACCAATTTTTCACCTTTACATTCAAACGGACCCTTAGGGTTAAAAATTGATTCTTGTTAGTGTAAATTCACTTAAACATGGACGAACAATTAAGCCCCAGTTTGACAGTCATTATTTGGATAAAATAGAGTCTTGAATAGTTATTTTTTGAAAAATGTGATTAAAAAATAGGAAACATTTTAGATTTATGTGGAAAATATTTTATTATGAAAATGTGTAGTAGAAAATGATTATACGACAAAAAGAATTTTGAAATAATTGTCAAACATGGGCTAAATATCACATATATTTACAGTAGTCCCTCATTTTAATCCCAATAAATATAATTAAATAATTTTTATGTAGCGCGCAGGGAATGTATGTTATTTGTCTCATTTATATTCCCATTTTCTTTATTTAGTTCATATCATTATAATTATTTGTGGGTTTATTATAAATTTGTTATTTTGCTGCTTAGAATTTTGATTTTTAGGAATTTCAGTTAATTAGGAATTAGTTGAACAATGTTTTAGAATAATTTAATCCATTTTAGGCTCTGTTTGAGTCCTCTTCTTTTAACGATAAATAAGTTTTGTAATAATGATTTTTTGGACAAATATACGGCAAAAAAGTAGGGGATTTTTTTGAAAAGTGTGTAATTACGTTTTTAAACTATATCATTGACGGAACCACACTAACAATTATAAAATGTAACTAAGTTTGCTTACTCTCTTGATTATGTCAATAGCGACTTTGACTTAAGTGCTCTAAAAACTTTAATAAGAAAAAGAATAATGTTAGGTAATATCGCTGATATTATGACACCTGTTTAAGTGGAATGCAAGGGATATTTCATTTTAAAAATGACTTATTTTCTTGTTTTTAAAATAGTCTATCAATTAATTACACTTTCATGTTATTTATATTGATGCTTAGCACTAATAATACTAAATAGTACTACTCAATAAGTTTTCTTAATCAAAAAATAATTGAATTACAATAAGTTTTCTCACTCGAATGCGTTATTTTCTAGAACTCAAGATGGAAGATCGAGGGTTAAACTCCAGGACCGAAGATCACAAAATCGAAGGATCCTAGATAGATGCCAAAATGTATCGAGTCATTACTCGTCATGAAGTGAATTGACATCATGTTTGGAGCTCATTTTTAAGCCAGAAGAATGCATTTTATTATCGTTATTTTACCAAAATCAGCCCCTTTTTTTTACTTTCCTCTCACAGTTGGGACCCTCTTAGAAGACTACGGTAATTTTTTTTCTATTAATAAGTTGCAAAATGAGCTTCAAACAGGGGCTGAAAAATTGCATAAAAAGTAGAACTAGGTCATGGTGCAAAACTCACAATGTTATCTATGTCATTGTGTTTAAACCCCGTCTAATCTAACTATATATAAAAGAGTGAGTTAGGGTTACTGTTCACAAACCGTGAGCCAAGCCGAATGGCGCTCGGCTCGGTTTGGTTTGGTTTTTTTAAACGTTTGATTCAATAT